TTTTTTTTTAATAATAATGAAAAAAGAAAAACAGTTTTATACAAAACAAAATATTTTAAGACAAAATAATAATTGACTAATGTGATTTTTTCCCCAGAAAGTAACATACAGCAGAATCTTTTAATAATCTGACAGATGACTGAGATTTGATAAAACGTTTAAACGTTACAGGTTGTGATCGGGGTATTGGCTTCAGTTTGGCTAAACACCTCGACAGTCAAGGTTTCCATGTTTTTGCCAGTTTCCTCAACAACCAAAGCGTGGAACAAGACCAACTTGTAAAAACTTGTTCCAACCGTCTACACACTATACAGATGGATGTGAGCAATGTACAGCAGGTGGAACAAGCAGCAACTCACGTCACAGCAGAGGTCAGGGATCAAGGTAAGTCATTTATAACAGAGGTCAGGGGTCAAGGTAAGTCACTTATAACTGAGGTCAGGTGTACCCGTCAAAGTCATAACAGAATCTGAAATTACAAAGGTCAGGGGTCAAGGTAAGTAATTTATAAGACGTCAGGGGTCAAAGTAAGTGATAACAGAATCTCAAATTACAGAGGTCAGGGGTCAAGTTAAGTCATAACAATCTCAAATTACAGAAGTCAGGGGTCAATGTAAGTCATAATAGAATCTCAAACTAGAGGTCAGGGGCCAAGGTAAGTCATAACAGAATCTCAAATTAGAGGTCAGAGGTCAAGATAAGTCATACATGATAGACTCTCACATACCAGTGGTCAGGACTCATGATGATTCATGCATTAAGTAGCAACTCTCATAACAACATAGGTCAGAAGTCAAGGGAAGTCTGCATAGCAACAATTCACATAACAACCGAAGTCTAGGGTCAAAAGTAAGTCATGCATTATAGAAACTTATAAAACAGGGGTCAGGTTTCAAGGTAAGTGATGCTTAAAAGCAACTTGCATGTCAACAGATATCAGGGTCAATTTCATTCATGCATGCCAATGTAGTATATACCTTTGTATCTATCCTCCTATTCTTGTTGCAGGGTATGTATGATTAATAAGAATAATATTTATTATGTATTTACTGATTTTTTTTCAGGATTAGAATTCTGGGGCATCGTCAACAATGCAGGGATCTGTTTTATCGGCAATGTTGAGATAATGGCCAGAGAGGATATGTACAAGGTCATGGCTATCAATTATTTCGGTCCTGTGAATGTTTGTAAGGCATTTCTCCCACTACTGCGACAGTACCGGGGCCGAATTGTAAACGTTGCAAGTAATGCAGGTAGGTTGCCGTGATTACACAGCAAGATAAGTCAGGGTAAAGCTTATAAATACATGTTTATCTAGCAAAAAGGATCAGTTCATTCAACCTGTCAACTTTTGCATCCACTGTTATCACACGGTCGCTATCACTGAAGTGCTTAGTAAATATATGTATAACTATAAATAACTAGCTTTAGTCTAGATCTTATCTTACACAAGGACAACAACACAGATATTTTTATATTTAAACAAGTACACATTAAGTACAGTAATTACACGTTATAGCGTTATGTTGATACCAAAGGGAGATAACCATGAATTTAGTTAATGTGAAAAATTACTATGGGACATCTGAAGAAGATATACTGGGGTTATATATTGTAATTTTTCATTAATTGCCAATGTAACTGGTGTAAAAAAACACAGCTGGTACGATGATAAAAATTAAAGCTTTGTCAAATTGATCTTTTGCATATTTATATAAACCAGGTATCCCTGAGGAGATCTTAGCTAGAGACCACCATTAAAATATCATAAAACCCACCATTAAGATATCATAAAATCCACCATTAAAATATCTTAAACCCACCATTGAAATATCTGAAAATGTCACTGGTATATAGTTCCTTCTCTTTCCTTTGTTCGTTCCTAAATAATAGTACCCCGTAACCAGAGAGTTTATGTACATGAAGTTGCATTATGATCTTTGAGGGGTGTGCTATTTGCTAAATTTCCCAATTCCAATAGAGTACAAATACGGACTAAGTGTAGCATGCAGACCAGTAGTTTGATCATGTTCCCTGTATATACCCTTTTCTGAGAAATAGCAGCCAAATATTTACATTATGATGTCGACATAAAGCCCAAGATGGTCTGGTGACTACCTTTTTTCCTGATTCAGTTGAAATAGAAACAGGAACTAAAGAGGATTAAAGGGAAAATGTATACTATCGTTTATGCAAAATTTAAAATGGCTGCCTGATGGCCATTTTGCTTTTCAAATCCATTTTCAATTGGAGCTTGGACCAAGGGGATAATGGATATCATGTTTTGTTACAATATTTGAAGCAGTTAACAAACTTCACATGTGAAATATTAGATGGCTGCCTGGTGGTAATTATGCTCTTCTGATCCATCACAATGGAGCAAGTACTTAATGCAAATGACATAATCAATCTGAACCACCCACTATATGATGTAGGTTATCCATCAATAGACCAGGGCAATAATGAAAATTATGAAAATCAAACACTATCTGAGGAAGGTGTATTAAAGATACATTTGTTGACAAAAGGACATGGCTGACAAGAATATACATGTATTATTTCAGGTTTGGTTCCCGTGCCCCTCATGGGTGTGTACTGTGCCTCCAAGGCTGCACTGGCCTCTATGTCGGAAGTGTGGAGGTTTGAGCTACAACGCTGGGGTATCAAGGTCGCCACCATTATACCTAGTGGCTACAAGACCGGCATTATGGCTTACGACAAAGCGGCCATGGCTGAAAGATGGTGGTCGAAGGCCAGCGATACTGTCCAGAGAGACTACGGCAGGGAATGCTTCAACATCAAATTTAAGCAGAAAAGTAAGTTATTTGGGAAAAATGAGTAAGTAAATGCATAGGAAAGGAGTAAAATTGAAGTTTTACTCATTCACCCCTGAAGTTTCATAATGAATT